TCCTTCCGCTTTTTAGGGAGCGCTTTCTAGGGGATTCTGTAAGCTTCACAAATTCGAACCCTGCGTGAAACCCTCAGTCCAAGATCGGCCACGGCTCATCTCGAGCGCGTTCCATTTGCATCTCAGACTCAAATCCAGGGATCCATCGATTTTTTTGGGGAAATCCACCATCTCCGGGTTTCACCTTGCCTCAAAACCCCGAAAAAGGGAAACACTGCTCGCACCCCCGTCCCCGTCCTCCAGCTGGTCCCGGTCGACCACCCCAGATTTCAGACACATCCCCCGCAGGGTCTCGGCGAGCTTCAGCTCTGTCTTGTCCGCGGTCAACCCCAAAGTGTATTGCTTCTTCTTCACCTCACGGCATCTCACGGCAAGACCCAAGGTAATCTTATAGTTCACGTCTCAAAAGGGCAACAGGATCCAACAAATCGTAAAACATCCTGGGTAGGAATGTGTCAATGGGAATGGGCACCCTTTGGAGGGTTCCGAATCAACAACAACCTGGCCACCTGGGTATTTTGGGCACTGCCTCAGGCTTCTTGGTACTTGGTGTCCCTCTTAAACCATTCAAAGGGGTGAGTACCCCATTGCAAGCCGCAAACAGTTCTCCAGTTCCTCAACCAATGTGGGAAGATTGGGGGCTTCCCTCCCATGCATTTGCAGGAAATCGGCTGGTCGCCCCATGACCTGGCAGATACTCGCCGCAACGCTGACGTGCAGATGAACTAAGGCTGTGCATGGTTTCTGTAAGCGTCCTGGGAGCTTCATGCTACTCGAAAGTATTTCGCTCACATGCACGCCCCAAACCAGAGCAAACGTCTGCTCTTGACTTGGAACCGCCGCATGCCTCGTGCCAATTACGTCCCTTTCAGCAAGCTTCCATTCACTCCATGTCTCTGGGGGCACTGATCATACGATCTGAGACGGCTGCGCTCCCATCATTGACGTTGTCGATAAACACCGCCATAATCCTCGGCTGGGAAATTCTCGGGATCACTTCCTGCACCGGCTGGCCAGTTGAAACCCGGGAAACTGAGGGCCTTCACCCTCAGAGGACCTCCAACTTGCCTCCAACGCAAGGGCTCCCACTTCTCTCTGGCCATCGCAGTTCTCAACTTAGCGTGGCATTCGAGGGTACCCTGTTTTACCGAGCCAAAGCAACCGTGTTCGGCTTCCTCATTTGGAGAAACAAAACACGCCGGCCTTTGCTGGTCAAAGGACAAGAACCTCGGGCAACGTTTGGATTGCCGCAAATAGTCCTACGGCTGTAGCACTGGCCCTCAGGTCACGCATTCATGTGCTGGCCCTAGGACTTTCATGCATGGCCAGGCATGAACATCGTTTCTTGCCAGCTGCTCAGCTTCGTTTATAATCACATGTTCATTGATAGGGTGCATTTATTGCTGGGGGGGAAGTGATTGCACAGCAGTGCCATCACTGCTCGAAGTCTATTCATACCAGTTCAAGTCCGCATTCCCAATACTTGCAGGCGGGCGGCAAGTTGAAAATGCCAATGGTGATGAACAGGAAACTGGGCTGTGGCTGAAGCAAGGCACCGGTTTCACACCGTGCGCTGCAAAGCTTCACAGACTAAGGTGGCAACACCAGGATGTAGGCAATCATCCACACACCACCCACAGCAGAATCTTTTCCTGAGTGCACATCTCGCCAGGCCAGCATCTGCCAACCGAATCATTCACCAACCCAGAAGAAGGGCCCTAGGAAAGGAACCTGCACACGGGTGAGGCCGCAAACCTCTTTGAGGTCACGCCCAGAATGAATGCCAGCTTCTGCACCGGGCACAAAACCTCGCCATCTTCGGCACCCCGCCCCTAGCCGCCCTTCTTCTCGTTTGACCAACCGGCTCCCCGACCCAAACGATGGGCTCTCGGTCCCTCTCTCTTTGTTTCTGTCTCTCTCTCTCTCGCAGGGGGCCGCCAGAGGTGAATTACAACTGCAGGTACCCCAAAGAAAGCTTCATCGTGGATGCAGTCGCTCGTTTCGAGGTTGCGACACCTCCCGATATTCCTTGATGCAAGGCAGCCCACTACGCACGTGCCCCTAACTGGGTGCATGTCTGACGTCAAGAGGTGCAAAGGAAAACTAACCCCACACCAAATTGCCCTGGCTACTTATTTTGTGTGTTGGTTTGGGCACAGGCCCCCCCAGCAACCCGCGTTTCTGTATTTCCCTGTTGCAGGACTCATCTCACCAACAAAACATCGCTTTAAGTTGGCAACCAAATTTGCACAGCTAGAAGGAGACATCATACCCTTTCGCCTGACACTGCACCTGCCGAACGGTCGATTGAAGAGCTGGTCCATGAGCGGGCAATTTCAGGGCTAAATAATTGCACATTGTGCCATGATGAGGCAATTTAATTTTGAAACACCCCGCAACCCATTCTATAGCACAGCAGCCCAAGATAAAACGCGTTTCTCGACACAGGGGAACCCCAAACATGTGTTGTTTCCTTGAGGTTTCGCTTGAAAACCGCCCAAAAACGTGATCCACGATTTGGAGGGACCGCCCTGCGCTCGGATTTCTGCGGCCAAGCCTCGGATGCGCTCCTGCAGCGGGGTGCCATCATAGCCGGCGCAGCCGTCCGTGAAGCAGCGGAAGGCTGTAAACATCGAAGCCGGCCTCAAACAGAGCCGGGGACGGTGCGTGGGTCTGTCTTATCCGTAGTTTTCCAAAAAAGGTACTGTACACTATGTTCAGGAGGTGTTATCCTTTTTGGCACATTGTTTGAGTGGTTGCACCATTTTCATGAGGCTTGGCTCCTGCTAGGTTGGTACACAAGGCTTTGGGGGGGGGGGGGGAATAGGTACCCTAAGCCTCCAAAACTCACAGTGGGGCACAATCGGACCCAATACTGCAGGCTTTAGAACCGTTAAAACAGGGATAGCTCAGAAAGGCATCAAACATCTTTGACACTTGGCCCGCCCTCACCTCGCGCTCTCACGCGCTTTCCGCTAAGCCAATGGCACGGTAGAAAACTCTGCCTTGGCTGTATAAGGCGGTGCTGACATGAGAAGTTGCCACGTCAGCTGTGTAAATATTGTCATTTTAGCAAACACTGGCCGGTCGCTAGTTCTTTGAGTGGCCATTGTACTGCAACTAGCTATGCCACTTTAATTTTAGGCTGTTTTCTTTCGATTTATCTAAGCAACCAATGGAACACAATGCTAAGGGAAGCAAGCACGGGATGTGCGAGGCGCGCATCCTTCGGACTTCGATCCGTCGAAGAGGCCATCCAACAAACCCGCCTAAACGCTGGAATTTGCAGGAAGCGCTCTGAATCATCGATCATTTTGCTTAAACAGAGACTTTTCTGGCCGGACGTGGGGCATAGTTTGGCATCATTGTGCTTTCATTTCTGCGCGAACCAAGAAGAAATCCAACTAGTTTTTGGAAAACATGCCCACATGTCAGGCTTTTCGGCATGGGAAGTTTTTTGGAACACGTCTTGTCCCTCACTTCGCCGAGGTTGCGTAGTTGGAGAACAGCGTCTTGCAGACCACACCCAGGAGGTAAATACCTGGGTTGACACTGAGGAGGATCAGCCTATGAAAATGAGGCTATGGAGCCCCCGTGCAGGCCCCCACCGGGAAGAATCCCAGCCCTGCGGAACAAGGAACACCCCATGTCATCCCCTTGAAAACGGTACACTCAAATGAATCTGAGGCTTCAGTTCATTCCCTCTGGCGCGCACTCTCAGATGCCAAGGGAGCTGACCTGCTGCACTCAAGATTGGACCTGCTTGGACACGGCTCGGAATGACTGGCACCACCAGGTGAGGTCACCCATTGAGCTACTTTCGCCGAGTTGCAGCCAAAAAGCAGCATGATGGCCCAGAACAGAACTCGCAATCCTGCGATTGATTGCAGCACTGGCCAGGTGGAAGCTTGCTCCCGAGAGGGCAATGCGGACGGGCCCGCATTGGGACAGTCGTTGCAGGTTCAGTTGATCAAACACCCGCCCGCACAAAGTGGCAAAAGAGCAACACATTCGCAGGCGAATGTGGCCACCAGTGGCAATCCAATCTATGAGTCTAAAGTACTAGAATATGCATCACATGCAACTCCCTATGACTTATGACATACACATCCTCGTGAGATATTTACCCCCGCCTCCCCCCTCAAACGCGACTACCGGCGTGGCAGAATAATGTTGCCCGCTCCTGTGAACACTCCTTGGATCCTCGGCTCGGAAAATAAAAAGATTGCCCCTGCAATCCTTCAGGCTTGCCAGGCTACCAAATCATGTTTCACCCACCTGAATCCAGGAACCCTGTGCGGGATCTTCTGGCAAGTGCTGGACCATGGGTGAGCTTGTTTTAGGTCTGACTGGTGAGCTCACTGGCAGGCAGCTTCCCAAAATTACGGACGCGCTTTTATCGCTTTTGGTGTGGTTTCAATCAAACCAAGCCGGAAGCTCTTGGGAAGCATCCACTAGAGCGGCTTCCAGCAGTTCCACCGGGGCGCATCAACTTTAGCTCCACAAAGATCTTGAATTTCAGCAGCCGCACCTCGAGATATGCGCGGAGTGCCTGTCTCCTATTGCAATTTTGGAGAAATAGATGCGGGTTTTCCCGTGTTCGGGTATCCGTTTTGGGGTTGGCTTAAAGGGAAAGCAAATGGAACCCTTTTTTGGAGGTCCCTATCTTGAGACACACCCCGCTAGCGCCCCGTGGAACTGTAGTCACATGACGTATCCCAGGATAAACTAGGGCGGACACCCATGATCGGACTGGGCGTGGGCATACGCTGTAGCCACAGGACGACGTTTTCGCATTCAATATTTGCGCTGGTGCGTTGTGGTGTCGCCCAAGGATGGAAGCCTGAGCGGATTGAGGAGCTCTCCATGAAGCCACGCTCCAGTATTCCAACAAAACACTCGTGTAGCCACCGCAGTTCAGCGTCAGCCCTCAAAGATCAGCCCTTCAAGCGACCCGGGCGCTGCACACTTGTTCCTGGCGAGCTTCACTTGCTTCTCCACCAAGCCGGCGTCGGTGTGTTTCCGACCTTGCTTGAAGGCGCCTTTGCCGTGGAAAATCCTCGCTGCTCCCAATCGTACCAGAGAGTGGATGGCCTCGTCACCCACAAGTGACCCTCCTTCAGGTTGGCCATTACCAGCTAGTACGTTCTTGAGGTCCATCGTTGGCGAGCGCCACAGCCGTGCATGTAGTCCAAGAGCGAGCAGATCCTCTTGAAGTCGGAAGATGGGCGAAGAACTCCAGAGTAATGTTGAGCAACACGCGCAACCTGCTCTCTTGCGCTAGTCGTCACAGTTGAGTTTTTGACAACAGGGTCAGAGGGGCCTCTTTGCCACAAAGGCCGTCCGCGAAAAGGGCGCGGTTCCCTGATGAAGCAGAGGTCACCTCTGGTTGAATGCAGTGGTCCATGATGCTCGCAGAGTCTCGCGCCCGTGAGAGCAAAGCCTTTCTGGGCCACCTCTACGGGCTGCTGCTCTGGCTGCAGTGTCTCAGCATTGGTTGCCAAGCACGGACGAGCTGCTGTCGCTGCTTGACATATCAGTTGGTCCTCGTCCATGAACCAGGCAACACGTGCATCTAGTAGCTGTCATACCAGCCACAGTCGCCATCCTGGCTTGAGTAGGTTTTGCTCTGGTAGTAGTGCGTCTGATCTCCTTGTCTTCAAAGCAGCTCACGTCGCTGCGCAGCTGGAGCATGATGTGCACCTGAATCTGCGCTGAGACAGGTATGCTTGGCCACGTTGCCCATACATATCGAGGCCGGCACGCATGATGGCTTCCTTCCACGTGACGTGCGTGTTCGGCGCAATCAAACGCATCTTTTAGTTCTTATCACAACGCTTGTCTCCCTGATGGGATCGCGTGCTGCGGGTTGTTCAGGCCCCGCGCCTCGTCGACAAATAGTCGTGCCAGCGCGACGGCCCCCTCATCGTAACTGCCGAAGGGGTCCACCAGGCAAAGGCGAGGGCGATTTGCTGCCCTGAAGCCTCCCTGCCACGCCACAAGAATCATCGGCTCCATCATACAGCCAATATCAGAAGGGCCAGGCAGCTGTGGATGAGGCAGTTGCTGAAGGCCAAAGCCAGGATGGATGCGAAGTATCATGGGTCGACGCCACAGCATGCGCTCACTCTTCCCTGCCTCTCCCCGACATCCCCCCCTGTCCCTCCACTCAAGGACTGTTTCCTGCTCTCCCTCTCTCACAAGACCACTGAGGAAGGCGCGATCCTCCCCAGACGTGCCAGCTTCAACATCTTCCTCGGACAAATGCAGGTCAAATCTTGGCCAGAGATGGGCAAGTCGACTAATATCGACCAACAGTGCGGCTGGGGGTGACATGTTTGAACAAACCCAAACTTCTGGCCCCCTGAAATCGACCAGCCAGAAGGTCCTGGAAAAAAGAGCCCAGGGCGGTAATTAGAGTAAGGCAGCGCAGCCGTGGTCTTCCATATTAAGCTTTCTAGGTTTGGACGGGCCTCTCGTGAATTTCAGCTTCAGAATGCAAGCCCACACACACACACAGACTTCCTCAGGTTCTTCCGCCAAATCGTTGTCCGCACAATTTCCTCAGACCCTGATCACCCAGCACATTTACCTAACTGCAGTTGTATTAGGGGGTGTGAGAACTTCAATTGTAATTGACTCATATCAGGATTAATTGCAGTTTCAATTGTGTCTTCCAATATTGAATTGAGCGATTCCATTTCAATTGCTTAGCAACTTACGGTACGCTTGTGACGGTGTTTGTGGCTCGCACAAAAACCCTTTGGAACGAGGACCGAAGTGGAAACCCCAGGGACCCCTTGGACCCTATCAATTTAGTAGTAAGTAATAAATATGGTTTGCCTCGCGCAGAATATTTATCCTTGGGGGTGTATACTGATTGTTAGGCGGAAGTGATTGTTGCGCCCCAGCAACGTACTCGATGCATGTTGGCCACTTGGATGCCTTCCTTCCTTCCTTGCCAGCGTGAACCACGAACTTGGACGCTCAAAATCCCGACAAGTCAAACAGAGGGGTTGTGAAGATGACACCTTCGGCGGCGCTTCTTTGAGAGCTGGGGGTGGCACAGCATTTGTCCATGCCATGGTCAAGCAACTCGAGCCACGTAGAGTTCAACGAGTCTGGATGTTCGAGAATTGTCGAAAGTTCCCCTTTTGCTTGGGACCCCCCCCAAATAAAGGTATTTCCGTGTAGCAGGGCCATGGCTTCCCCCAATAGGTGTATTTCCGGTACCAGGGCCATTGCTTCCCACTCACCACACGCAGGCGTGGGATATCGAAGGATCCAACCATCAAATCAACACTGGCCCCGTCAGCTGCCATGTCCAAACTCGCCGACACGAGGTAGGGTCGAAGTGGCACTCACTTTCACCTATCCCCCTTGGCCCATTTCTCAAGGCAAAGAAACGCACACTTCAACATCGCCCACGGGGTGACATTCAAATCAAAGACGGAACTGTGATTTCTAGAACCGGATTCCTTTAAAACAAAACTCCCCACCACCCGGGACCCAAACAAAAAACATCAACGGGGGATCCACCAGACGACCTGCGCCGAGCTGCAGCGCCCCGAAGCCGGCCCCGCCGTCGGACTCCCGAAGCCCGCACTCCGAGCTGCCCAGGCCGGTGGTCGGCAGACTCATGCCTCGATCCAAATGGGCGACCTCTTGAACCGGATACACACATGGTCCATTGGGCATCCAAGCGACCTAAATGGAGCTGGCTTCGAACCAAGGGATTTCAGTTGGATGCTTGCCCACATGATTGTGCTTTGCAAGCTGGACACCATTTAGTACCCTTATAGGGCTCGCGTGACTAAACGGGTCCAGCGTTGACCTCGAGTTCATCCGGAGGGGATGATATACTAATCCGAGGTATTCTGAAATGTATGAATTCCGCAAAGGGGAGCCATCCCTGATGAACGCTACCAAATCGCAAGTGAAAAATCGCCAACACCATTTGGACAATCGAAAGAGCGGCTGCATCTCTTTCTGGCTGGGACTGTCCCTCGCCTCTCATCTACCCTTGATTGTGGCCCACCAGGTCGTAGGCCGTCCGTTTTGGATTGCGTTAGGGTTCCCATGAGTTCCTTGATCGTTTGTTTGGGATTCCGGAAACTATGCAGGATAGCAGGGTCAGGCATGCGGAGATTTGTGCTTAGGGGAAGGGCGTTGAGAGTCCTGGAGTGCTTGGTACTGATTGCCGCCCCCCTACAAGTGTTGAAACTGGGCAATTAAGAATCAGCATTTTTCAACCACAGCCACATACTGTCTGCATATCTTTGCGGTTGCACAATTTTGTATCAGGGGCATGATGCCTCACCGCCAAGCATGCTGCAAAATAAACAGGTCGTATTGAAGATGGGGCAGCCCCTTGAATTCCAAGTGGTTGAGTCAGCTCGCGTCGGCGTGAGTCCCGGCAGTCCCTCAACTCGCGCTCCCGGCTTCTATATTCCCCGCTCCCAACCCAGTCCCTTCTGCTTTCGTCTTTCCAAAGGGCCCATCTCCAGGTATGCCAGTAAGACGCAAAAGCAGTCGAACCAGGACCAATACCAGTCGGCGCCCCACAAGTAGCCCTTGACTCCAAAGACTTTCCTCAGATTGCAAGTGGCCACGCGGAAAAGGGCCAAGTTTGGGGCAATTGGGTGAACTGACTGCATAAAGGGACAAATAGGGGTGGACACCCAACAATGAAAAGGGATTGTCACAAGGAGAGACACAGAATTCCCCGCCGGGAGGTGCAAAACCAAACTCGCTGCTCACCAGGGACCTCACGAAAGGCTGAGCTAGTTCTCTAAGCCCTTTGAACCTATCACCCTTCACCAAGGGGTCGAAGGTTGGCAACTTCTTCCGCATCACAAGGCATGTGCACGAGGCGAAAATCAAGATGCGGACAGCTCGTGCGTGGCTGCCGAGCAGCATCTTGACCAGAATCTCCAGTGTAAAGAAGCCGGTGAAGAACATCTCTAAACCCACCCAGACCTTAGCTTCACAGCAATCCCACTCCTGCGGTTCTCTGGAACAAAGCGCAAAGGATTGCAGCAGAACCCATTTTGGCCTTGGCAAGCAAAGGCCGCGACCGTGTGCTCGGGGCAAATATCCTCAGTCGAAATGCCCGAGGGCCAAGCGTATAGACCTCTCACATGGATCTTGAGGGAGAACATGTTCCTTAAAGGACCTTCTGTCAGGTTCCATGTATCTACACCCGGTAAACTTCAACAAGATTGCTGTGTATGTGAGTTGGCCATGGACGAATTCCCCACAAACTGCAAGAAAGCCAATTGCCAGCCACAAATCACGGAGCTGTCTTGCCCCCACTTGACCTTATTTCCAAATACGTGTTGAATTGGAGACAACCCCAATTCATATCCACGGCCAACATATTCCTTCCTTCCCTGCCAAGAAGCTCGTGGCAACTGGCGTTTCAATCAAATCCACTTTTAGGCCATGATAACTGGGACCAGTTCCGCTCACATTGCCCCGGTGACCCTGGAATCTTAGAAACCCCTTGGCAATCTGAGGGTTGGCGTTGACGGGCGATTCGTGGATCTGGGGCACAGGTCCAGGCTCAGACGAGTCTCAGCGCTGAGGCCCACCACTGCAGCGTTGATCGAAATGATCACAGCCTTGGCTGGGCCGGGCCAGCAACGGAACCCGCGCCATTGTTTTTACAGGGCTGCCTTGGTTTCCTCTTTAAACGTCACCCCAACAAAGGAAGCTACGGGAAACCAAAAGGGGAACTATAGAGGGAAGCGTGTTGTGAGGGTACGGGGGGCAACGCTTGATACCCCCTCAATCACAATCTGGCTTCGACGTGAGGTGTCCCAATTCAAGATTTCGTTCGATGCTTCCAAGTGCACGGCAAAAAGAAAGCAAGTCATGTCATCAAAGTTGACATGCTTCACATCCCTGGATGTACTATGACTTACTATGACATGCTGCTAGGCCCCTCATGTTGTAGCCTGCATGCCTCAGTGAACTCAGTTCTTTGGCCCCTCATCCCCACTCCTTGGCCAGCCGCTGGTATGACGTCCAGGAAGATCAAGCGCGAAACCTCACCGCAACACGCAAGTCTGTGGAGCAAGGTGCGGCGATGCAAGCACATGTCAAAGCTGCCGCAATAAAACCATTGCGCTACCTCGTGCGCCTGTACATTGACATCTGCTCTCACGGTCTGAGGACAGTGACATTTCATTGCTCGTTGAAAGCTCACCGTCGTGAACAAGAAGCGTTGACCCTGAACCAGCCTAGTTTGAACATTACAGTCCCAGAGCGAGGCAAACTTGCAGATGTATTTTGCCTAGACAAAAAAATATAGCACTTCCAACATGGTCTGATTTCCCAAGCGGCTATACACATGTCAAATACCTGATTGCTCCCTAGATACGCTGAAAAGTGCTTGGACCCATTTGGACCCTGGAAGTGGAAAGCTGTGAATGACAGTGCCTATTCCTTGGTTCCTCTTTACATTGGCAACTCTCGTTGGGTTCTCTGCTGTTGTCCTGGTTTACCTTACAAATACGAAATAAATAGGCAACAGCCAGGTAAGCAGAGACCCCAAACTCCCACATGTGTCCTTGTCCGGTCATCTAGGCAACTCTATGACCTTCGGGTGTCAAAGCCTATGGCTGAGGCCAAACTGTCTCAAGGTAGACAGAGCCATAGCATAGAAACAAAGACGCAAAGAAACCGACAGGCAGAAAAACACAATCCCTATTTTTCTTGTACAACCAGCTTGTGACCGCCCTTGTTCAAACATGTTTCAACCAAGGGCTGCCCCTCCCCCAATTCGGAATGTTACCGCACCAAATTTCGGGCGGCTTCCTATCGCGAGGCAACCACTTGAGGTCTATACAATGCGTCGGCAACCACTCAGTTCGGAATGCGCGGGCGCTCTCAAACTCAGCTCGCTCGTTGCACGCTGCGATTCGGGTCGCACGGGCTTCCAAACCCATGGGCGCCCCGAGCCAATCGACCCATTTGGGCTTTGACTTGGCACCATTTGGGCTTTGGGTTTGTCATTCCGGAGGGTGCCCGTTCTGGGCTTGGCCTCAAAAGCAAACACACCGAAGGGATTCTCGCTGGTGCACAGGGAATGGCATTTACCAAGGAAAAAGAAAACCAAGGAAAACCACTTAAGGAACACCACTTAAGGAAAACCACTTAAGGAAAACCACTTAAGGAAAATGAAGGAAAACAATTTACCATGGTAAATCCCCTTAAGGAAAACCACCATTGACCAAAACCTAAAAAGGCAACGGACGGAGCCCCTTGCCTGCTCCTCCGGCTCTTCCACCGGCGGCTCCGTCCTGCTGCCCTTGCTGATTCGGCCTGGGAGAGGAACGGTAGGGCCAAAACCCACTGGCATATGGATGCGATGTTACTTGTTACATCAAAACAATAGCAGTGCAAGTGAATGACACCTCAGGCGCAATGATTAAGGTTGCAAGCACCAACCGTTGATCCTGTTCTCGTGTTTCTGTAGCAAAAACACAGCATGCTTCTTTCAAGACGCATCCGCATTGCCTTTGATAGCTCGCACATACGATTGCAACCATAGACACTTTAAAGCGAACTCTTTGCCTAAGGGATGGGAAGGGGAAACATCTGGGTTTTGAGGAAGATGGTTTTAGCATATTAGAAGGCCATGTATTTTGTGGAAGTGTTCAATCCGCGAGCTCAGCTCGGTGCTTTAGCCCCGTAAGCATCCGGAGAATCGACCGACTCCAATAAGTTTTTCACTTGCAGTAGTATGGCTATGTTTGGCCGCGCCCGTGCCATCAGTGGCCGTTTCAGCTGATGCGGGTTCCCGCGATAGAGCCACGGACGTTCCTCGCTTCTGCCATTTGTTACTGGGCTCTAAGGAGTTCAAGCCAACTGACAGTTCGGGAGTGGAATGGCCGCCTCACACTAGCAAAACTCAGGCCCAGTTTGTAGGGTTCCGTGCTTGCAGTGATGAACACCCTTTCATGCCTCTTGGTTCTGGAAGAAGCTGTTGCTTGATGTATCTTGATGTTGCCCATCCCGTCAAAGTGCTCCGCATCGCCAAAGGTTGCCATGGCACAACGGCCGCAAACGAAATGCAAATCACACAGCTCTGGTGGACACCACGGGCGAGGGTCGTCCTGGAATGAACCCGACATGGCGAACGCGGAACCGACATGGTGACCTTTTTGTAAAAATATCAAGCGCAGGTTCTTCGTCCTTCCCCAAACTGCTACTAAAATGCATCCTGATTTGATCCATGCGATTTCCCTTCAAACCTCAACTTGGCCCCTGGGAAACACACGAGCTCGGGCCTTTTAGGGCCCGGCGGTCACTGCGCAAGCGCGCGGCTGAGGTTCCCTCTGAGATCGGCTCGTCCTGCAAGCGGAAGCAGAAAAAAATGAAATGGCTGTGCATCAAAGCCCTGTACCCCTGGTGAAAGTCAAAATAGGTGGTATATGGGAGTTCATCCGCCCCAAAATGGAGGCATACAGTAGGTTATGACCCATGGCCAATTGTTCACCCTCTTTCTGTTTCTGAGATGGACAGGGGGCCAACCCCAAAAGGAAATTCGTCCAAAAGCCTCTGGTCAGCTCCTTGTTGGGAAGGCATCGATCTTAAGATTGAGCTTGGATGGTGTTCAAGGTAGGCAAGTGCTACACACCGTTTGGGCTAACGTGTCTTCGGGCCTTGAACAACCAAAACGGTCCCACGTGTTGCCCTTCGCGACGAATCATCATGACTGTTGATCACCGATATCAAGCATTGCTCGACTTGCCAGATGCTTTAAGGGTGAGATAGTTTGGGCCTTTGGAGGAAGGAATGGATGCACCTCAAATAAAACTTCTCGAATGAGGGTCATACCCTTCAGCTTTTCCTACCACAAAAGCGGCAGGATTGCTAGTCACATGGCTCTGGTTTGGAAGCCTCGTGTCTTGTTTGCTCCTGGTACCAGGGTGAAAGTAGATGGTGCAATTCCCATGGGCATATGTATATACAATTAACATATGAAGGGTCTGACTATGCCAAAATGGGCAGTTGTGCCATCTAATTTCACTTGCAACTGAAAATGGGAAGTCGGCCATCACCCGAACAGGTTTTGACACATTCCCCTTCAACGTGTGGAAAGGCCAGCTAGAAGGGCGGCACACTTGCTAGCCCGACTCCGACGGAGCCAAACCCAGTGGCCTTGCTAATCATGCTCGCCTCGTCGCAGTCGGCAACCTTGGATCTGTGAAACATCCAAAAGAGAAGAACTATCTGGTATGTCCTCTTTGCAAATGCCTGCTTGTGGCGCCTGTGTCAAGCACGCAACATTGCGAGATTGCACACAAAGTACCACTCACTATCACCCTCCCCTTCCATGAGAGATTACTGTGACAGGGCTTCGCGATTTTTCGGCCCTTGGCCACTGCCCGCAATAAGCGAAGTCAAGTGGCAGCACCTGGGATCAGGTCATCGCAGGTAATCTTTGCGTGGAGCTCTGGCATCCTGGCAAACTGAGAAAAACCAGCCCACACAAAGCAATCTGCCTGGTTTACTAGCAGGAGCCCAAAGAATGAACAAAACGGGTCCGGGCGTCTCCTTTAGAGTGGATCCTTGAGTTTTGGGGAAACACTCCCCAAACAAACCGCCAGGTCGAATTCATTTGCAGTCAACACGACCATGAATGATACCTTTAAAGCAGGGATGGGGGTCCGGCCACACGTGAGCTTTATCTTGGACCACCAGCAAACCGTGTCAACCAGATCTTTGCGGGCATCAGGTATCACGCTCGTGTTTCAAACTTGGGGCTGTCAGGTGAGCCTCTGGGAAGGTGAGTTGGTTTTGCCTGGATTTGTGACCCTTCGTCACTGTCAGCCTACATCAGTTTGTCTGGCTGTCTGGCTAATTCAAAAAAGGAGAACTCTTTGAACACCTCCCCATGTTCCGTATCCCCAGGTCTCACATCAGCTTGGTAGGCCTTTCCGGCAAGAGCCACCCAGACCCTGTTTGAAGAGCACGGCTTCCGGAGCCCCTCCTGGAGCCATCCATCCACCTGGGAAGGGCGAGGTGGGAAAAGCAAAGCATGCAGCTCTGAAGGAACGATTTGGGACCCCTGCAGCTGTGGAACGAGTCCATTTGGAAGAATGCCATGCACTCACAACAACAGGGTTTGCCAGCGGTGATTCACTTTTGGGCCCCATACGCTTTGACTTGCATAAGGGCCAAGGCTAGGCAAACTCAGAACAAATGCCGAAACTCTGAACATACGCTGCAGGGATCACCCGGACAGGCTATATCCCTGGCAGGCAGCAGCTTGCCATGCAGCAGTTCGTCTTGCTGGCCGAAAGACACTTCTTTGGTCGGAGACATCGGCGAAGCTGGGGTGTGCGATGTCACAATTGCTTTGCAGCTGGCTGGGTCCTCGGATTTGCAACACGTCTTGAACCGGCTGCTTAAACGCTGTGAGATGGACCCTGATTAAACCAGCTGTGCATGAGGGGCAAACAGGCACAACCTGCCAACGTCAAATGCCGCAAAAAATGTATCCGAATCCTTCTCAGAAACCTAAAGATTTTGAGTCAGGGGAAGGTTCCTCTGAAATAATCGAGAAGTAACATTGTGCCCTGAGCTCCCGTACTTTCCCCTACGCCAGACTGCCAGTATACGAATAGTCCATCTCCGTTTGTCCGATCCCCTTTCTCGCAAGCCATTCTTGGGAAAGATCCCCAAGCCACCAATCCAAACCCCGGAAACCCTAATCTGCAACACATACTGCCCGCCACTCCCGACAAGCTTCGCGCAAAGCCGCAATCTTCGCCGTGATGTTTCGGGCCCTCAAGTCGGGGCTCCAAGGACAAGCCCTCAAAAAATCCAACAACTAGACCCACATCTTAGACCAACCTCACATCCCAGTATGCCATACGTATACGTAAATGTAAATGTATCTCTATGGACTCTTGCCGATATGTCCTAAACATAAATACGAATGACGTCGGTTTACTTGAGTCATGTGAGGTTGCGGGAAAAACTCGGTGTTTTTAGAGTTACTGCTCTGCGGTTCTCGATTTTTCTCCTCATCGTTTTGCGGTGTTTTGAGGTTTCTGCACTTTCAACCTCGCAAGCGCGACCTTGTAGTACAAGTGTCGCGCGCAAAGTACATTTTGGCAGCTCCAGCTCGAAATTCGCAACTTTTCAGTACAACGGAGTACGCAAAGTGCACTTTGGCAGCTCCACTTGAAAATTGCAACCTTTCAGTACAAATGTTGTGCACAAAGCCTGTCACAAGCGTAGCACGCGAAATGCACAGGGGCAGCAAACGGCAATTTATGTGTGCAATGTTGTCATTTTAGGTAGCATTTGTTTTTGGTCAGTTGCAAGTTTGCTGCCCAACAAGCTGTTTTTTGAAAGCTGACAAGCGATCGCTCCGTTTCTGTATTATTTGTTTGTATACCTTTTCGGGCAAGCAGAAAGCCAGAGATCAGAGCTGCAGTTGTTTTTCCAGACCAGTCCTTTGACCTCCAAAATCTACGGGGGTCCGTGAAAAGGGTTTGGCCCTGAGATCAGCCCAAAGCGTCTACTCCCAGGGTTCGTCATAAACCCCACGCGTTCAGTTTAGTACTCCGATTTGTTCCAGGCTAACATGGCATGAGCTTCTCACTGTGCGCTCGGAAGAGACGCGGAGGGGCCAGCGCAAAAGACAGGAAACGGCCGCTTGTTGGCCAGGGGCCTGGTGACCGCATGCTGGGACACGAGGAACCTCCGAACACTAAACCTAGACTACACGGGTTTTTGGACAACCTCATGTGGCAAAGGAGCCTTTGCGAACCCGGATCTCCTTCCAACGGACAAAGACAGCAACTCCAAAGCTCCGCCAGCGCCTGCCTTGCCCTGCATGGCCATGACCTGGCCTCTCTGAAGGCTGGAGCTAAGTGCTACTCACACAAGTTTTAACGTACTCTGAAAAACAATTCACGCGTGTGTATGCATCTGTGTGTGCGCATGTGCGCGTGCGCGTGCGCGTGCGCGAGCGCGTGCGCGTGCGCGTGCGCGTGCGCGTGCGCGTGCGCGCGTGCGTGCATCGGTGGGAGTGTGGGTGGGTGCGTGCGTGCGTGCGTGCGTGCGTGCGTGCGTGGGTGGGTGGGTGGCTGGGTGGGTGGGTGAGTGGGTGGGTGGGTGGCTGGGTGGGTGTGTGTGTGTGTTCGCGTGCGTGCGTGCGTGCGTGGGTTTGTGTGTGTGTGTGTGGGTGTATTGTGGGTGTTTGTTTTCTTGTGTTTGTTTCTTGGTGTGCGTGCTTTTGTGTGTGTGTGTGTGGTTTTGAGCGTGCGTGATCGTGTGTTTGTCTCGTGTTGGTGTGCTCTGCGTGTTTGTGTGTGCGTGTGCGTGTGCGTGCGGGTGTGGGTGTTTGTGTGTGTGTGTGTGTGTGTGTGGGTGTGGGTGTGTGTGTGTGTGCTTGTGCTTGTGCTTGTGCTTGTGCTTGTGCTTGTGCTTGTGCTTGTGCTTGTGCTTGTGCTTGTGCTTGTGCTTGTGTGTCTGTCTGAGTGTGTGTGTGTGTGTGTGTGTGTGTGTGTCTGTGTGTGTCTTTGCCTGTAGTTTTCGTGTTTGAGTGTGTGTGTGTGTGTGTCTCTGCCTGTAGTTTTCGTGTTTGAGTGTCTGTGTGTGTGTGTGTGTGTCTGTGTGTGCATGAGTATTCACATTGTGTTGTGTGCGTGTAGCTTGCGTCTGAGTGTGTGTGTGTGTATTCACATTGCCTTGTGTGCGTGTGGCTGGTGTTTGAGGGTGTGGGTGTTTCTCTTACTGTGTTTTTTCTTCTTCTTTTTCGTGTTGTGTTGTGTTTTGTGGCGCGTTGTTGTGGTGCTTTGTGTGGTTGTTGATCAAATGATTCTAGGGGAGTGTTGCGTCGCGCTGTGCTGTGCTGTGCTGTTGCGGTGTGCGGTGCGTTGTATTGCATTGAGTGGTGTTGCGTTCTGCTGCAGTGCAGTGTGCTGTGGTGTTATGCTATGTGGCGTGATATTGTGTTCGTTCTGCCTGCCTCTGTGCGAGTGCGCGTGCGTGTCTGTGTGCGCTTGACATCCCAAGATCCCCCCGCTTGGGTTGGAAGACAAGGCACACTTCGCCGTTTTGGCTGCCCGGACTGCCCAGTTCCAGAAGCTCCGCGCGCAAGCGCTCATTCTCCAACGCAATCCTTTCCTCAGCCACTGCTGTCAGGCGCCATTTTCAGGGGTGGGATAACCATCTGACACATTCCCTCTCTTCCACCAGGTCCAAAGAAAAAGGTCTCCTCGAATTCATTTCGCCCACAGATCCAACAATAGATTCCTTCGAGGCAACCCCGAAAACAAACCTGTCCGAGCAGCATACTCCGCACCGAGGAAGTCCAGCCGGTCGCGCACCGCAGGCAGCATGGCTAAGACCCCCGTTTGTGGGAGCCAGGAACTCCGTGTGAGCTTCTGCTGCACTTCACAAGGTGCTGAACCCATCAACTTGCGCAGCTGAAGTCTCTGCGGTGATGCGCAAACAACAGCACCGCGTGACCATTTTTAAGAACCCAGTCCAAGTGCAGCACACTCGAGCCTTCATCCTCCCTCTTGAAGTCTTGTTCAATAACTGCGGATGTACCGCACCTACGCTTGACGTAGTCCGAGCCATGCCGTGTGAAGATGGCAGCGACGGCAGCACCCGCAACGGCTGAGTGAGCTGTTCTGCACTATGATGCTAAGAATCCAAACGGCAGACTCCATTGCTGCGTGGTTGTGCGTCCAAGGAGCAAACACCCCTGAAAGGTCCCGTCTGGTGGTGATCAGGTTGTCATAATTACGGTTTCTTCTGCAGCACTAGACGACAATTCACGGGGGCCCCTGGTTTTGACACATCCTCAGGCCACTGCTCGTGAAACGCTCGGTCTGTGCACTCTCCGCAATGTGAATGTGCCTCCATTGGGCTTGCACACGTCCCATGTCCCGTTCGACCGGAAGTTGTCCAGAGATTCCATCTCTTGGGCCATCATCCGACCAAACCCATCTTTTGGCTCCTGGACCCGAAGATCCTGCGAAAAATGGCCCCACCCTGGGGCCATCTCTTGGCTCGTAGCTCGTAGCAGGGTCTCACCCGCGCGCTCGGCGCTCTCGGCCGGTCCGTGGACCTGGAGACTGGATTGGGACCTGTTCCTTACAAACTCTCTTGGTTCTGTGCGTTTGTTGCTTCTGGGCGAGCCGTTCAAACGTCCAAATAGGTCACGAAGCCCAGCGGGCGGAAGCCGAAAAGGGATCATCACCGTTTGCTTTGGATGGTCCCCAAAAGGCAAAGCAAGCAAACACCCGTCGCCCGTCGCAGGGAAGAGCCCTCGCACAAGCCGCTGTTTGCTCGGGCCCGGGCAACCGTCGACCTTTGCCATGTGCTTCAGCTTTTCAGCCCACTGCTTCCAACTCGGCTTCTTCAGCCTCGCAAGTCGCACAGTGCCTGCCATGGTGCACCTGTCAAGTCTACGTCAGGCCTATGCCCTTTCATTGAGCACCATGAAATCAAACATGTTTCTTGGGGGTAAACCGTGAAGATCCCAAGCAAGGAACCGCGTGCCCTTGGACATCCTACTCTGTGTTCCTCTCTGCGAGCCAACCTCATAGGTCGTGCGAGGTCTTAAAATGAACCTTGATATACAATACAAGGGATCCAGAACCTGTATGCTGGATGGATTGGACATTGGATCATGACTGGACATTGGATCATGTCAAATCCTTTCAGGGCTGGTCGTGTTTGCTGGTTCGCTGGCGGAACTGCCAACCAGTCCACTTGGTTGACGTAGGCGAACGGGCCGGCTTTTCAACTGGGCACAGCGGTGTTGGATCCACCGAAGCATCAATTGGACAGCTGGGAACGGATGTCCTCCTCAAAGAATCCTTCATCGTCGAGTCATTTTTGCCCTCAGACCCGCTATACTTTGCCAGGAACCATGAAGGAGGGCCCCATTCAGAAAAGAACAGTGTATCCTCCGCAACACCTCCCCCGCGTATTCGGTGGTGTGAATGGATGCAGTGTGCTTAGGATCATTCGTGGCATCCCTTGCCATGAATGCGAACATTGGCCAGTATTGATGGGATTTATCTTGGGATGGTGGGGTGCACGCTCAAACCTGAAAAACAAAACCCTTTTAAACAAAATGCAAACAAAAATAGATGCTAAGTGTCCCCCGTATTGGAGGACGGCCGATGCATCGAATGCTTTTGGGTGCCAGGCCGATTCATCCACCACTTGCTGCCGGTCCTCACCTCCAATCCACACGTCCTGGCCACGCCCATGGGAAACGAGAATGGGATACGTCGAAAGAGGGTTGGATCCACCCAACATGGCGGAGTTCCCGTTACTCCTCCCTTCACACCAATCTGAAAAGGGTAATCTCTTCCCCCTACAGTATTAATAAATACGGGTCCCCCCCCCCCATTAGTAAAAAATCCTCCCCCAAAAAGTAGTTGTCTTTAATTGGGGTTTTTGCAATTGTTTTTTTTGCTTTTCCAACAATGTGAGGGTTCACATAGGATTTGGAGGAAATGGATTGAATTGTAAGGTCCGCGAGTAAGCGGTTTAATAAGGAAATGTTATGTATCATTCTATTTGTTTTTCAGTTTACTGGTTGTTTGTTTGCAGCCAGGCAGGTTAATTAATTAGCCAGCATGTACGGGAGAGAGACAGTCGCAGCTAGACAGCTTTTGGGGACATGTTTTCTTTTGAGGACACCACCCCAATAAAGGACCCAATTAGGATTGGGGCTGGAAGCTTGTTAAAAGTGCCCCCTAATAAGGATTCCAGACTTTACAATTGGTTTAGTATTGGCGCAATGGAAAATCAATTGTGGAGTGGAAATCTGGTCCCGGGCCCCGGATTTCCATTTTTTATTAATTGGGGTCATTCATTAATAGGGGGAAGAGATTACTCCCAAACAGACACAAAGCCAAGTCTGAAAGAGAGCGCTTTTTTTTGCCCAACTAGGATACCCTGCGGGGATGCCAAAGACGCATGGTCCTCCTGCTGAAAACCCCGATCCTATCAGAAGCTTTGAAGAATTGACAACATTACACTCCTCCAGGCCCGTTGAACATAAAAGTTCACAAGCTGGAACCTGGTTGGGGGGTACCTTAAACGCGAATTGAGTGGTAAATGCGTAAACAAATATTTGGACCCCTTATACTCCCTCAAAGAGAGACACCCGCTGCAAGCACTTTCGCTGTGCGGTCAATGCTTGCTATGGCATTTCCACTTTACGTCCTGCGGAAAGAGCGGCTGGCCCTTGCTTTTCACCTCGGCGCATGCCCGCAATTGCCCCTCCTTCAAGCCTTAGGTTCCTCCAGATCTCTGCTGTCCCTTCAGGCAGCAAAGTTGAAGGGGCCTGCAAAAACGGGCACCCTCACATCTCACCCCCACCCCCCCACCCATGCCGTTCAGCCCCCGAGGATGGCTCTTCCGGCAAAGGCTTCTCGTTGATCTTCTTGCGGCGCTTGGCTGCCTGGCGCCTCGCCTGAAGTGAGCTTCAAGCGTTCATGTGAGTCTCTTGGCTTGGTTTAGTGCTCCCCGCCAAATTCCGAGTGACAAGTGTAGCCGGGCAGATCTGTACAGTAGGCCCCTGTGCCTGATGCGAATGTTTGGGGATTGCTCAGTAGTCTCTTCGAATCGCCAACAGTAAATTACCACACATAAACCAGCGAGTTCTCCTGCTGACCCCAAGTTGGGCTTATTATTCGGGAGCTCCTGGAAACGGGGGAGCCTATCTTGGGACAGAAGAGGACAGAAGAGGACCGAAGAGGAACGAATGTGGAGGGCCCCTATTTAAAAAATGTTTCTTCCCATGCATGTGTTTGTTCCTCTTCTTTTTTGGGAAGGGGCCCTTTGTTCGCAGGACGCGGTTGATTCCACAACGTTTCAAGAGCATCTCTCTGACGCCATGCCCAACTTTTGAACCCACGCTATGGACTGTGCACCAAATGCTGGCCTGCTCATCTGCCCCATCTCTGTGCCCATATCGCCAATCCGCCTTGGCGCAAGTACGTCAAGACTTTGCCCTTTTCTGGACATTTACGGGGCATTTTGATTGTGGAAAACAGCCCCGCTGGGCAAGAGTCGACCGATGCTTTTAGCCGAGCCTCTGCTACCCATTTTTATAAGCTCAGTCTCTCAACTCTGCCGCCACTCCCCGTTGGACGTGAGATGTTTCACACCGGCGAAGAGCTAAGAGCTTCCTTTTCCCTTGTAACGCTTGGTGCATGCAGACCGGCCAAATGGACATGCCTTTGTGCTCATCCCTGAGGCATCATCTGTCCAAATGCTACAAGTCCTCTCCTTGAATATGGGGAACCCAGGATTGATGAAGCAGGCCCCGGAGGGGTTTGTCACAAACGTTTTGTCCATGTGCGAACGAGGAACATTTTATGCATCGACCAGGGGAGCCCTTCAACCATAGACATGCAGGTGTCTGCCAAAGAAGGACAACCTCCTAGACTCCCAAATGTCCTTTTGGAAATCTAGATGGAGCTGGCAAGTGGTCAGAGCCAAGCACCTATCAAAATTCGCTCATAGCCATAGATCATGCCATATGGCTGTGGGTCAAAATACCATTTTGGGGTGGTGCACCATTTTAGTCTATTTTAGTGGGACTGGGGGTACGGGATTTTGACTCACAGCCATATCAACCTCGAGGCCTCTTTCAGGGTTCCCCGATTCCCCAACACACGCTGCCACTCCGAGAGTGCGGCCGCAATCCGCATGTCCTCAACCGTGACAGCGCTGCCAGAACTCTTGCTCAACCTGCACCATGCATACAACAAGGGTCGAAACAATCAGCATGGGTGTGTGGGGCTCTTTAAAACAATCGAGTCCTGATCATAGGAGCAACATGTTGACAATACTCTAGTCCCTCATATTTGGCGAAAGGCTGAACATATGCCAACACCAGAAGCATGCCTTGCACATGTAAACTTGTGGTTGACCATGACACAAACAAGGAAGGCATGCCAAGTATGCAAAAGAAACCTTTTTAGGACATGTTGAAGCGAATCGCCTCAGGCACCGTTGGGTGCTTTGGGGTGGTCTGTGCTGACCTATGGAACGCTTTTCGTGTCTCCTTCAAGCTTGAACAGCTACGTCCCATGGTGGATCAAGCTGCTTCGGACCAGGAACTGAAAGCAAGCACTGCTCACATGCAGCGAGCCCCACACCCAGAAGACCCCCCAAAAAAGAAGACACGCCTCACCTAGGCCCCCAAACCCCGCAAAGGCGACTCATCGCCCGCCTGGTGGCTGTCGCCAACAGCTCGTCGGCTTCCACACAGGCTACCTCAGTCTGAGCCGCCGTGCGCAGCGGCGCCTTTTGCCGCTGTGAAGACCAGTGGAAGTTGCGCTTGGGATGAAGCACACCCGATTTGGCGGCCGTGTTCAGAGGCGAGGAACGTGCTGCGGGGCCCTCAGAAACTGAACTGGGGAACAAGCAATGATTCATTTGCTAAACATAGCGGTGAGGAGCGAGCAGCGAAATGCTAAGCTATGCTATAATTGTGACCATCCGGAAATGTGTGAAGCTCCTCTACTTGCCCAAAGTACTGCGTCACGAGGCAGGGCTATGAGCAGACCCTGGCTGCAGGAAAGCAGCTGATGCGTTGCTTTGCTGACAGCTTCTCTCTATCAATTGCAATAATTCACAAATCGTTTGCATTTTAATTCGGTGTCCGGTTGGCAACTGTTGTGTTTTTGCAAGGTCATTATTCATTGGCTCAGAAAAGGTACATCCTGCGTGGTCAAGGTTCAGCCTCAATCTTTGTTTGCTTGAACTCTCTGAGTTGTCTGTAGTGAAGCTGCCGCCATGTCATCACGGTTTCTCGGCAGCGGGGGGCCCGTGAGTAGGTGAGGCATGTCAAAGTCTTCGCCCCGCCAGCACGGGCGCCTAAAACTGCTGCAGGAACAACTGCCGGGCAGCCGTCCAGTCATTCAAGGAAGGTTTGCTCGCAATCAGGGGTCTCAGGTATACGAATCCCGTGGGAACTTGAACTCACCTCTTGTCGCACGCAACAGGAACTCTCCCCGGCCACAGTCAAACACGTTTCTCAGCAGCCCACGCCTAGCAAGAGATCCACAGCACTCTCGTCCCAATCTTCCATACCTGGCGACGCCGGGGACGATTTTCAGGCGAGCAAGGGCCTGCAAGGCACAGAGAAGCTGGGGGCTCTGCAAGTCTGAGTGGTCTGAGAAAATCGGGGTGCGCTTGGTGCATAGGAAGTGATAATCTTGCCTCTGGTCGGAATCAGTTGGAAGCAACACTTCGAGAAATATCTGAGACAGTCTCTTGGCCGTTGGGTTTTTTCTCTGACAACTTTCCATCACTGTGGTTGAGATGGGTGTGCCTCAAAGTTTCCCTTGCACACACACACACACACCACAAAAAAGCTGCCCTCACAAAAGGATGATCATGGCTCAACCCCGTCTTGTTTCGTGCTATCCCCTGCAGTTTGCAAGGGAAGCTAAAAATAACCAAGCATTTTGGGTGAACTCAAGTTCCCGCAACCAACTGCCACCTCCGGTGCCCCTCCCCATGTACGTCATGCCAGGGGGGCCCATCTCCTTCAGCAAGCCCGCAACCTCCTTGCGCGCTGCCTGTCAAGCCCATGTGAAACACCCCTGGTCACGGGCCCAAGACAAAGAACAATGTCTGTGTTTGTGCATACGGTCAAAGATCAAACCTGCTGAGCAAGAGGTGGTTGTGGGAAATCATAACTTGTGCAGACCATTTCAGCTACTCATCGTGGTAAGGATTGACGTGGATTGACTCATTTGTTCCACAAGAAGTGACGCTGTGTTCAGCGTGATGTGATTAGCTTCAGCCGTCTCATGGCGCTTGCAACTTGGACAAATTGCATGAGAACTAACACATACAATCAAAGCAGCAGGGTGCTTGAAACGACGCAATATTTTTGCAAACTCCCCCAGCTCAAGTCCGCTGCAGCAATGAGACCTCCGTGGAGTCCAAACTGACAATCCCCCTGCAGCTTTGTCGGCCACTCCACTCCAGGTCAGGAAAGCCCAACTGTCCAGCGAGAGACCATATCATCCACCAAGGGGCTCAGGCGCTTAACACCGGACCGTGTTCCAACAAGACTCTCTGCAAGTGGTGTCTTGACAATTTGTCCACATCCTTCGACGAAGCCTCCTCGTCCAAATCCGTCGCCGCCTCTGCCTCCACCTTGACCTCCTGCTCAAATCAAGGCCCCTTCGAGGCTCTGAGCATTCAAGGCGGCGGAAACTGCACCTCGAAGTCCGTGTGCAAGCCATCCTCATCAGGGCCAACGAAGGGGTCCGACCCAAACAATCAAGGGCAAGTTCTGCGAGAAACAGCCGCGAGACACAAGCACAACGGGGCAAGTGTCCCCTTCTCCCAGGCTTTGAGAGGTGTGGACATATTTAAGCCAAAGCAAACCAGAACACCCTGAAGCCTCTTGCTGAAAGGCTGCAAATTAACACTGGATAATTACCTTAAAGGCAGCTTAGCAGATTCGAAAATGACTCGAAAGGTGAGGGTTGACTGACTTCCTGGAAAAGAGAAGCATCATGACCCCTGGAGCACCAAAGGGACGTCCAGAAGTGTGCCATGTGGGTCCTTCAACATTCCGAGCGGTTCTCAAGACTACTTTGGGGCCACAATTCAAGGGTGAATTTGAGGATGTCTTACCAAAATGGAAACAGCAGACTGTTCACGACACTGAATTCCCGTTTCTGCCTCGCTATGGGCCCCTCCCCTAAATTGCGGTCACGGCCCCCGTTTGAACTTGCTGGTTCTCAGATCAAAAGGATTCCTTTACGGAAACCAGTTAAATGTTGGGAGTCGGGCTCTTTCCTTGAGAAGCAAGCGCTTGGGAAACGGAGAAGGAAGGGTGCTTCCGTGAGAACCAAGTTTCCTGGGTCTTGAAGCCTTGATGAAGGAAAGTTGGGGACGTTCCCTAAAGCAAGCTCACAGGCCTTGAGATGTGGGGTTTGATCAAAAGCTCCTGTACATGGGACCATTGGGGAAACTAAAAAGAAGATATGTCCCACCAAATGAAAGTTAATTACCCATGGTCATTATATGATGGGTTCGAAGTATCTGATAAGTATCAACGATGTGAGACACGGGGGTTGTATGGGTCACTTTCATTCTTTGGTTGTCAATATGTTGGTCCAACGATACCTGGCAACACCAATGTACCTTGTCGAAGGGCCAAATAGATAGAGACATGGGTTGCTGTCAATAAAAAAGAAGAAAAAAAGAAGAAACAAAAGAAACAAACAGGTCTTGTGCCCTTGGGCCCGGCCCTTAAAAAAAAGCCGCCGCTCCTCTGCCGGATCCAAGGCCAGCGCCGCCTTGGTGGCCTCCAGCGGCGCCTGCGTCCTGGGCGCCGCCGTGGGCAGCGCGGTGGCGCGGGCGATGGCCCGCGGCAGCGCCGCCGTCCTACGCGCCGCGTTGCGCGCCGCGCGCCGCGCGAAAGTGGCGCATCCAGGGTACCACTCAAGCTTCATCTGAGTCAGAATCAAACCCGGGATTCGAAACTGGGGATTAAAATGGTCGCAATCCCAGAATGTAAAGAATTAAGAAAGATATCCACCTGCAACCCCAGCAACAGGAGGCGTTCTGTGCCGGGATGGCGTTTGTTTGAGGCTAAAAAAAGTCTTGAAAGCCCAAAGTTGCAAAGTTGGCGCCTGTTTGGGTGGGTGGTTTTTTAAGAAGAACCTCTCCAAAAGAAAGCAGCGCCGGAGCTGGGAAATGGGGATATACGCCCGGCTTGTGGCTTGACCTTCGTTTCCTTTCAAAAACTAGACCAAAAAAGAATGTTCTCATTTTGCTAAGGTGCAGGGTGCCCAGAAATCGCGAGTTTTCCCAGCAAACCCCGCCATTTGGAGGTTCCCCCCCCAACGGGAAACCCTCTTATGGGGAGTTTACCTTTGTTTTTGGTCTTCATTCAAAGTGCAAGATAGCAATTCATGACAACTCAACGGAACTCTGCGGTTTTGCATCCTTGGGGACAAACCAGCGCTCCTAAAGGGGCTGGAGGTCGTCGAATTCTGGGCCAGTCTCCGCTGAACAGAACGGGCCTCAAACACAATGGGCTGCATTGCCAAGAAATTTCGGAGCCATTGGCACATCTCCACGCGACTGAAATACATGGAGAAGTCCGGCAGAGGCTTGTGCGATCGTTTTGCCAGCTTGCCTGGGCGGCAAACAGGTGTGCAACAATTGAACAACTGCCATCCCATGGTGGTTTCCTTTATGACTTTGGACTGGTTATTCACTACGAAATACCATTTTGTACCCAGTAGCTCTCCATGATGTGCAGGTAGGCCTTGCGCACAGCGCGGCCAAAAGGGCCACACCCCCGGTCCACGTAGATGCAAGACTCTGGCTTGATGTTGACCCCGACCACCTCGCCCACCCCATTCCTCCAGACCTGGGCTTAGAACCACTTCCAAATCATGCAACAATAGTTGGGCCAGTCAAGCCGATTTCATGCGTAGCGGACCGCCTTCCAACCAAACAATACAAATAAAAACAACAGCAAGTTCCGAGCACAAAAAGCTCCCTACAGTCTCCCAAAAGAACTGGCAAAAGTTTAGAAGAGAATCGTAGGCGCTCCAGGTAGGCTGACAGCTGAAGCAAATCATGCCTGCCACAACGTCGTGTTCAAAAATGTGTAAGCCACGTTTGTTGAAACAGCCTCCTTTCGGTTTCCCGTTGAAAGGCGATCAGAGCCTTTCGCCTTTCGCGCCTGCCACAAAGGCCATGACGCGGCCCAAGCAGGGCTCCGCCAGGCTGATGGCTTCATCTGTGGCCTTTATGGAACGATTCAGGAGCTTCTGCTCGTACTCCTTCAGATCCGCAAATTGGGATTTGGATCCGCAAAATCGCCCACCGTTACTCTAGACGCTAGGGCGGGCACAATGGATCAGAAAGGCGTATGTTGGGTTGCTCTCTTGCACAAGGCAATGTACAAATGTGTAGGTGGCCAGACGCATAGAAAGATAGACAAATGCACAGGTAGATAGATAAATGCAGAAGAGATTTAGGGATGAATAGGCAGGCACACATAGAGTTTCTTTAACTTGATAAATAGAACAAATAAAAGGTCAACAAGCAGGAAAATGGATAGGAAGAGACACACCCAAAACACGATGGTTTTTGGCAATTATTCTGCATTCGGGTTCCTGGCTGATATCAGTTTGCAGGTAGGAAGAATGAAGGAAACCATAGAAGGCCAAGGACAACAGGGCAACATAAAATCCAAGAAGGAAACCAAGGACAAAAGGGCAACATGGAATCCATGAAGGAAACCAAGCAGGGACAAAAGGGCAAGATGGAATCCATGAAGGAAACCAAGGACAAAAGGGCAAGATGGAATCCATGAAGGAAACCAAGGACAAAAGGGCAAAATGAAATCCATGAAGGAAACCAAGGACAAAAGGGCAAAAAGGAATCCATGAAGGAAACCAAGGACAAAAGGGCAAAAAGGTATCCATGAAGGAAACCAAGGACAAACGGGCAACATGGAATCCATGAAGGAAACCAAGGACAAGAGGGCGAAATGAAATCCATGAAGAAAAAAAGAACAACAGTGCAAGATGGAATACATGAAGGAAACCAAGGACAAAAGGGCAAAAAGGAATCCATGAAGAAGAAAAGAACAAAAGGGCAAAAAGGAATCCATGAAGGAAACCAAGGACAAAAGGGCAAAAAGGAATCCACAAAGCAAACCAAGGACAAAAGGGCAAAATGGAATCCATGAAGGAAACCAAGGACAAAAGGGCAACATGGAATCCATGAAGGAAACCAAGGACAAAAGGGCGAAATGAAATCCATGAAGAAAAAAGAACAACAGGGCAAGATGGAATACATGAAGGAAACCAAGGACAAAAGGGCAAAAAGGAATCCATGAAGAAAAAGAGAACAAAAGGGCAAAATGGAATCCATGAAGGAAACCAAGGACAAAAGGGCAAAGTGGAATCCATGAAGGCAACCAAGAGCAAAAGGGCAAAATGCAATCCAAGGCCCATTGGGCAAAATGGATCATAAAGGAAACCAAGGACAAAAGGGCAACATGGAATCCATGAAGGAAACCAAGGACAAAAGGGCGAAATGAAATCCATGAAGAAAAAACAACAACAGGGCAAGATGGAATACATGAAGGAAACCAAGGACAAAAGGGCAAAAAGGAATCCATGAAGAAAAAAAGAACAAAAGGGCAAAATGGAATCCATGAAGGAAACCAAGGACAAAAGGGCAAAGTGGAATCCATGAAGGCAACCAAGAGCAAAAGGGCAAAATGCAATCCAAGGCCCATTGGGCAAAATGGAGCATAAAGGAAACCAATGACAAAAGGGCAACATGGAATCCATGAAGGAAACCAAGGACAAAAGGGCGAAATGAAATCCATGAAGAAAAAAAGAACAACAGGGCAAGATGGAATACATGAAGGAAACCAAGGACAAAACGGCAAACAGGAATCCAAGAAGAAAAAAAGAACAAAAGGGCAAAATGGAATCCATGAAGGAAACCAAGGACAAAAGGGCAAAGTGGAATCCATGAAGGCAACCAAGAGCAAAAGGGCAAAATGCAATCCAAGGCCCATTGGGCAAAATGGAGCATAAAGGAAACCAAGGACAAAAGGGCGAAATGGAATCCATGAAGGAAACCAAGCACAAACGGGCAACATGGAATCCATGAAGGAAACCAAGGACAAGAGGGCGAAATGAAATCCATGAAGAACAAAAAGAACAACAGGGCAAGATGAAATACATGAAGGACACCAAGGACAAAACGGCAAAAAGGAATCCATGAAGAAAAAAAGAACAAAAGGGCAAAATGGAATCCATGAAGGAAACCAAGGACAAAAGGGCAAAGTGGAATCCATGAAGGCAACCAAGAGCAAAAGGGCAAAATGCAATCCAAGGCCCATTGAGCAAAATGGAGCATAAAGAAAACCAAGGACAAAAGGGCGAAATGGAATCCATGAAGGAAACCAAGGACATACGGGCAACATGGAATCCAAAAAGGAAACCAAGGACAAGAGGGCGAAATGAAATCCGTGAAGAAAACAAGAAAAACAGGGCAAAATGGAATACATGAAGAAAACCAAGGGCAAAAGGGCAAAAAGGAATCCATGAAGAAAAAAAGAACAACAGGGCAAAATGGAATCCGTGAAGGAAACCAAGGACAAAAGGGCAAAGTGGAATCCATGAAGGCAACCAAGAGCAAAAGGGCAAAATGCAATCCAAGGCCCATTGAGCAAAATGGAGCATAAAGAAAACCAAGGGCAAAAGGGCGAAATGGAATCCATGAAGGAAACCAAGGACAAACGGGCAACATGGAATCCATGAAGGCAACCAAGAGCAAAAGGGCGAAATGAAATCCATGAAGAAAAAAGAACAACAGGGCAAGATGGAATACATGAAGGAAACCAAGGACAAAACGGCAAAAAGGAATCCATGAAGAAAAAAAGAACAAAAGGGCAAAATGCAATCCATGAAGGAAACCAAGGACAAAAGGGCAAAGTGGAATCCATGAAGGCAACCAAGAGCAAAAGGGCGAAATGAAATCCATGAAGAAAAAAGAACAACAGGGCAAGATGGAATACATGAAGGAAACCAAGGACAAAACGGCAAAAAGGAATCCATGAAGAAAAAAAGAACAAAAGGGCAAAATGCAATCCATGAAGGAAACCAAGGACAAAAGGGCAAAGTGGAATCCATGAAGGCAACCAAGAGCAAAAGGGCGAAATGAAATCCAAGGAACAACAGGGCAAATGGAATACATGAAGGAAACCAAGGACAAAAGGGCAAAAAGGAATCCATGAAGAAAAAAAGAACAAAAGGGCAAAATGGAATCCATGAAGGAAACCAAGGACAAAAGGGCAAAGTGGAATCCATGAAGGCAACCAAGAGCAAAAGGGCAAAATGCAATCCAAGGCCCATTGGGCAAAATGGATCATAAAGGAAACCAAGGACAAAAGGGCAAAATGGAATCCATGAAGGAAGCCAAGGACAAAAGGGCAAAGTGGAATCCATGAAGGCAACCAAGAGCAAAAGGGCAAAATGCAATCCAAGGCCCATTGGGCAAAATGGATCATAAAGGAAACCAAGGACAAAAGGGCGAAATGGAATCCATAAAGAAAAAAAGAACAAAAGGGCAGAGTGGAATCCATGAAGGCAACCAAGAGCAGAAGGGCAAAATGCAATCCAAGGCCCATTGGGCAAGATGGAATCCATGAAGAAACCAAGGACAAAAGGGCGAAATGGAATCCATGAAGACAAAAAGAACAAAAGGGCAAAATGGAATCCATGAAGGAAACCAAGGACAAAAGGGCAAAGTGGAATCCATGAAGGCAACCAAGAGCAAAAGGGCAAAATGCAATCCAAGGCCCATTGGGCAAAATGGATCATAAAGGAAACCAAGGACAAAAAAATGGAATCCATAGGGCAAAGTGGAATCCATGAAGGCAACCAAGAGCAAAAGGGCAAAATGCAATCCAAGGCCCATTGGGCAAAATGGATCATAAAGGAAACCAAGGACAAAAGGGCGAAATGGAATCCATGAAGAAAAAAAGAACAAAAGGGCAAAGTGGAATCCATGAAGGCAACCAAGAGCAAAAGGGCAAAATGCAATCCAAGGCCCGTTGGGCAAGATGGAATCCATGAAGAAACCAAGGACAAAAGGGCGAAATGGAATCCATGAAGAAAAAAATAACAAAATGGCAACATGGAATCCATGAAGGAAACCAAGGACAAAGGGCGACATGCAATCCAAGGCCCATTGGGCAAGATGGAATCCATGAAGAAACCAAGGACGAAAGGGCAAAGTGGAATCCATGAAGACAAAAAGAACAAAAGGGCAAAATGGAATCCATGAAGGAAACCAAGGACAAAAGGGCAAAGTGGAATCCATGAAGGCAACCAAGAGCAAAAGGGCAAAATGCAATCCAAGGCCCATTGGGCAAAATGGATCATAAAGGAAACCAAGAACAAAAGGGCAGAGTGGAATCCATGAAGGCAACCAAGAGCAAACGGGCAAAATGCAATCCAAGGCCCATTGGGCTAAATGGATCATAAAGGAAACCAAGGACAAAAGGGCGAAATGGAATCCATGAAGAATAAAAGAACAGAAGGGCAAAGTGGAATCCATGAAGGCAACCAAGAGCAAAAGGGCAAAATGCAATCCAAGGCCCATTGGGCAAGATGGAATCCATGAAGAAACCAAGGACAAAAGGGCGAAATGGAATCCATGCAAACTAGTGGGTTCAGGGCAATGAAAAGGGTTTCTTCAGCATCTCCTGGGCCTGCACGTAGGCCTCCGAGCGGGCGACATCCTCCATGGCTGCCAGATAGCTTTGCAGCACCTCGCTGGTAGAAAAAGCGCAGCCCTTATGGGAGGGTGAACATTTGTGGGGTGTTCCCCCCTTTTGTTTTGTGTGTTTGGCGAGGTTGAACACTTGAGGAGCGGGTGAACGAAAGCTAGCAGTTGTTGCATGAGATGGGTCGGTGACAGAGTGGATTCATAGGTAGCTTGTGCACAACGAGAGGCCCGGCAAGATTCGTAGGATGCGACACGCAAACGCACATGGTGGCGTGGCAAACCTTGAAAAATGAAAACAACGAGAGGCGTCAGAAGCTGTCTGAAAGCACCTCTGGGTTCTGCATGCTGCGTGTGCAAAGATCCTTGCGAGGTGGTTTACCGAGAAGACTGAGGTCTCAAATGAACAAGCTGAATCGGTGGAACATGCAAAAGTTCGTGCAAACCGAGACTGCTGAACACTGAGCCACTGCCCGAGGGGGGGGGATGGACCAGGGAGGAATCGAGCCTGAGACCGGGGCGGGGGGGAGGGATTGATCTTTCGGCATTTGAGCCCCTTACCTTGCTTACGCAAGGAGAAACTTCAGCTAGCTAAAGCTAGCTTTCGTGATTTAATTTGTTTGTGGAAAGGTGCTATCATTGGATCCTTTTTGTTTGGTGAGTTGACCGTTTTTAATGCCACATGGTGCTGGACAACTGCGTTTAGAACCGAAAACGCTCGGATGGCTGTCAAGGAGACGAGGGTCCCACTGGGTAAGGAGGAGAGGTCCGTCAACGGTTTGCATGAAAGACCAAAGCATCCAACGTGCTATCCATGATTCGATGATTTTGCACACTGTGGCCTACCGCATCCACGGCCGAAGAACGCTGCTTGCTCATCGTGTTGGCCAGCCTTCCTGTCTTGCTATGCGCTCCCCTGGAAGGGCTCAGCCAATTCTACGCTGCCATGGTACACGTGGGACAATACTATAATACTATGTCCTGCAACTTCTCAAATTAGCCAAGGGCGGAAGGCAGCGCCTACAACGCATGTTTCCATCTCTACAGCTCAAAGCTCTTCGATCCCATTGGTTTAACGGCCTTGGGGCCAAAGAGCTGTGACTCCAAGTCATGCTGTATCCCATAGCTCCACGGCCACCATATCCCAAGAATCACCAACCGAAAATCCCAGGACCCATCTCGCTTGCTCAGCCCTCAAAAAACAACACCCAAGCAACCAGGGCGAAAACACACAGAGCAGTTCCCTTGATGCGGGGTAAAGCAAAAACCCGAGGCCTCGCTGCACCCAGCCCCCCAATCTCGCCTGCAGGTCAGCGTCCAGCTTCAAGCGGCGGCTCACGAAGGCCCGGCGCTGCAGAAACTCCAAGTTGGCGGTGCAGCAGCTGCTTCTACCGCTCCACAAACCGCAGGTCTGCAGCTCCTGCCACCAAAATCCGGCGTAACATTTGGCCATGGGTCAAAAACTCGTACCCCCAGTGAACATACCAATCCCCACTAAAATGGCCTAAAATGAGTGGTGCACCCACCCCAGAATGGTACCATTGGTTTTGACCCACAGCCATTTAACGACCCCCAACAAAGTGGGAACCCCCCTTGGATTTCGATTGAACGAGCGGCAAAAACGGATTTCCTCAAGAACACGGCACATCGAAGTTGAGCCAGGTGGCGCTCGGCGCGGGCTAGTGTTTGTCTGTGAGATCGGGACCAAGGATTGAGCAACAGGATTGGCAAAGCAGAAGGTCTGCGTTTGTGCCTGGGTCACCATTTTGGGGGTAAATGTACTGATTCGGCACATACCCATAAGAGAAGCATTCCTTAACACAACCCACGTGAAACACGCCGAGGGCACCGAACCCGTTAGCCAACCTGCCGCAAGCAAACCGGAAGTGGAGTCGCTATTGCAGATTGCCAAGCGTGGCCACTTGGGGTGAACTTTGCCAAGCCCAAAGCTTCTGAGAGGCGTGGCACTGCCTGCGCCCCGCACCCCGCCTCGCTGGCCGGGCGCGGCGCCAGCTGCGCCACGTCGCTATCCCCGGTGTACCACTGGCCCCGGAAGAGGGGGTCCATGCACTCGAAGCTGGGCTCCTGATGTTCGTCTGAGGCCAATTGGGCGAGATTGGGAACAACTAGACCTTGCATCCCCTGAACGGGGAATGCAAAGGTTGGCCGGTTCTTGACATCAAAAAAAGAGAGCGCGACCCAAAACTGACCCTCAAAGCTACCCTGGAGAGGATAGCTTCATTGCATTCGATGATTCTGTGGACAACAACTGCTTCGCACCAGTTGGGATGGATATACCCTACAAAAACTGTGACACACCCTACCAACCGGTGCAAAGAACTGGCAAGATATCCAGGGTCGGGCAAATTTCCTGGTATCCCGAAAAGGGAACGCAAGCAGGCCGTTTTAAAGCAGCGGGTGCTTGCCCAACCCTGATCCCAGGGTAGACACGGAACAACTGGGACGAGGTAAAGCGGCTGGTGTCCGCAGCTTCATTGGGAACTCGGCCCCCCACTCATGGCCTTGCAAAACCCAAACTTGGACTGTCAGTTGCTCATCATTGGCGTCTCAAAAACTTCCTTGGCCCCCCCAAGTCGCAACACACGGCAGATCTGTCGGGCTCCCTTTGGAACGGGACACCGATCTTGGCGGAGGCGGGTGGGTTGGCATGGCACCTTGTCGGGCATTTGGAGAGTTTAGAGGGAAACGAAAAGAAGAAAAAAAAGAGAGAAACAACACCTCACCTACGGGCATTTGGAGAGTTTACCTCTTGGAGTCCTTTCGAGACAATCCCAGCTCCTCTCGCTGCACAGCTTGCGCGGCGCAAACTGCCAGCAGCGCGGACTTCCACATCGCTCGACTTCCATCGAGGCTGGGAAGATGTGCCCACTGGCTGTTCCAAGATCGGGGACTCGCAACCCTTTTTGTGGGGAGGGCTTGCAAATTGGCCAGAGCCCTAGTTTTGACTCTGACACATTCCCAATTCGTCATAAGACCCTTCTTGTGTCGTGTTCTGTAGAAATCGAATCTCTTGGGCACTCCTAGGCACTTCCGCGGCATCTTGCTGATTGTTCCGGAATCATCGGAACCAACATTTGGAGGTCAAGACTCAAATCCTGAGGGGAAACAACGAAGCGCGCCAGGAAACCAAGCAAACAAATCTAGTACGATTCAATTTACAAAGGGGCACCGTTTGCAGCTGGCTCGCGGAGCAGCACCAAAAACCCCTTGACGTTGGTTTTACCCATCAGAGTTGTTTCAAGGGTCCCCTGAGTTTCACCCCTGACTGGAGCAAAGTTCAAACCCTCTGAACGTTGGTTCTACCCAGAATGCAAGCAGAAGCAAACAGCCCGGGACGAGCAACAAATCAAATGGCGAGGCACGAGGTGCGGTGTTTGGAAGCAACGAAGCAACGTGCCTCCTGGGCCATGGCTGAGTCGCAGTCTTCTGCTTGCTGACTTGGCATACGGCTGAGGCAGTCCTGAATTCAGGGACGAGCATTCACATTAAGGTACATGCCGAGGAAGCACAGCTCGGGCATGCTTGGTACTCTTTCCTTAGTGAGATTTTATGGATGGCAACGCGTTTGAGCGAGCAGCGGCTGGTTCAAACGCAGAACGGCATCTGGGCAGTCATCTCACAAATGCGCACCAGGCATGTTTTTGGGGATGGCTTTAAGCTTGTCCTGGGAGATGTCTTGGCGATTTTGGGATGACTTTAGGGAGATGCCGTTGGGGCTTACTCTTTTGCGCTTGTCTTGGGTGATGTCTTTGTCTTTGGGATGACTTTGGGGACGTTTTTCGAAGGGATGTCTTCAGGATGATGTCTCTATAGGATGATGTCTTTGGGGGTGTCTTTGGGATGTCTTTGCGTGTCCGGTTGATGTCTTTTGGGGTGTCTTTGGGAATGTCTTTGCGCTTGTCTTGACTGATGTTTTTGCGCTTGTCTTGACTGATCTCTTTGCGCTTGTCTTGAGTGATGTCTTTGGAATGTGCACCTTTAGGGTGATTTATTTGTCTTTGAGACTATTTTGGGAATGTCTTTGGTAGCTAGTTTGGCAGCATGTTTCTTGGGGGTGTCCTTGGCACTATGTTTAGGAGGATGCTTTCGGTGGATTCGGCAGAGATGTCTTTGAAGGGCGCCTTTGCAGATGTTCTTGAACGTTGTTCTTTGTCCTTGGAAGCTGTCTTAGCAGCATGCTTCTAGGGGGATGTCTTTTGGGGGTGTCTTGGGAATTTCTTTAGAGTGTGTCTTTGGTGGATTCGGCAAAAACGTGTTTGGGCGATGTTTTTGGGATGACTGTGGGGGATGACTTTAGGGAATGTCTTTGGTTGATACATTTGGTTTGGGGATGTCTTGGGCGTATTCTTGGGAACAACGGTGTGTTTGGGGTTCTCTCTGAGTGTTGTTGTGCGGTTCTGATATGTCTTGGCTGTGGGGATATTTTGGGTGATGCTTTGGGGGACGTGTTTTGTGGATCGCTTTCAGGGCTTCAGGGTGTCTGTAGTCATACTGTGGGGGTGCCTTTGGGAATGCTGTCGGGGTTGTTTGTTCTCTCGGCTTGCGCAGGGTGGCGCAGTCTAGTGATGGGTTGGGGCCAAGGGTCCAATCTCCACTGGCATCTAGGCGCCTATCCCATTCGCCTGCAAGCCTAGATGCACAGAACTTCAACACAGCCACAGAGTCAAATGTTCTACTTGAGTATAGTTATGAAAGAAAAGGCCGCGTGAAGGCCTACGTAGCTTGCATACCAACATCGGGACCATCATGGCCGAACGGACGAGCGACCAAACGCATGGATTCTTTTCGTGTTCCTCGTTCACAGCTGCGCCCCAGACAGGCACCAACCGATGTCGCGCCATGGGCAAAGCCCTGCCAGCGTTGGAGGGGGGTGCCGCTCATCAAACATATTCGTGATCATGCCACACATTCCCACACAGCCATGGCAAGATGTTTGAGCCAGGCAGTACCTCCAAAGGCAAAGCTTGCCTGTTCGCCACGTCCCACTCTTTGGGCCTAAAGCTACTGCAAGCCGAAGGGCGAGAACACATCGCGGGCTGTCGGTTGGCTTGCGCCTGCGCGCCGCGTCACTGGCGGATGGCCTGCGGAGGGCAAAGCCGAGCGGCTGCTCCAGGCAGTCTTTACACACCGCGTACGGCGTGCTAAGTACTCCCGCAAAACTAACATCAAGCTTCAAAATGAGGTTCCTGAAGGGTCGGCGGTAGAGGGGTTGGCTGGCTGCTCAAAGTTGACCAAGCGTCCCGTTGGGAACACCTTGAGCAAAGGCAGCATCCAATCAACAGTCTAGTGCATCAAAGCAAATCTCTTAGGTGGCTATTGTTTGAAGTAAAGCAATTATTGTAGAGGATAGCCCTGCTTGTGACGACATTATGTTCGTTTCCCTCAAAACTACACCAAAAAAGGACGAGTACTCGGTTCGCAAATGTTTCGAGGTGTTCTGAAAGTTGAGCAACGCAAATCTCTTGGGTGGGGATTGATTGAAGTAAAGCAATTCTTGCAGAGGATTAGCCCTGCTTATGACTTTATCTTCGTTTCCCCTCAAAACTAGACCAAACAAGAACGAGTACTCGTTTCGCAACCAAGGAAAACCCCACCAGCTGGATTCCATCAGAGGAAAATGGCAAACTTCACGGATGTCTACTGAGGCGGACATGTTGGCCACAGGCAAAGACAACAGGCCGTTGTGGCAGGCAAGTTGTTGCAAAAGTTGCTGAATCTTGCTCTGAACAGGTTCGACTATGAATTCGACTTGACCAGCTTGAGTTTTGTCGGATGGTTTGGTCCTGAAGGGACTGGAAGTTGTAGACGACATTGGAGCCGTTGGCACATCCCCACGCGTCTGAAACACTGAAGTCCGGCAGAGGCGTGTGCCATCGCTTTGCCAGCTTGCCTGGGTGTCCAAGAGGTTTGCAACAAAACAGTTTCTTGCTCATCCCATCCCACCCTCTTGACAAATGAACACTATGGACTACGAATATCCAAACTGAATTGACTTGTGGGCATCCTAGCAACCAGCAGCTCTTCAGGATGCACAGGCCTTGCGCAATGCGTGGCCAAACGGGCGCAGCTTGCAGATGGCTCGCCCTGGCGCCGCGGAAACCAGGGCTCGGCCTGCGCGGGCGGGGCGCCAGGGTAAACTGCACGGTAAACTGCACGGTAAACTGCCCTGGCGTTCGGTCAAAACGCAACCCGGCCTTGGCGCTCGTCAGAGCACCTGCCCGGCAGCCAGAACTTCTTGGAGCTCTTCGGCCGCCCTGGCAGCGTGGGGTCGGATGTCTTGCTGCGGTTCCTGCAGCTTTGTCAGCCAGTCGCTGATCGCTGCGTTCCGCTTCTCCACCTCGACGAGGTCCTCCACCGCTTTGACCACGCAGGACGCCGCGAAGACGTCCTACCGCGATAGAATACACTTATTGCAAACCCGCAAAGCTGACCCAATCGTGCTAATTAGCCGCGGCGAGCCCTGCCGTCCTCTTTGAAGTGGTTGATCCGCGAAATGTCCTGCCACACAGCACCCACAAATTGTCCACAAAGCCTTCCCTGGCATGCGTGTTCATGCTTACGATGATGAGAGGTCCTGGGCACGAAAGTGTTCAAGATTGATCCGGCCCTCGGACAATTCCTCCAAGCTTTGGTGGATCTGGGCGCTGTCGAAGTCGATCAGCACCATCTGCCACCCCAGCCCCAGCCGGCTGCAAACGTTGCGCGCGGAGATGTCGCAGTGTGCGACGCAGAAGCTATGTATGTGCTTCAGGGCGTTCAGCAGGGTCACAGCCACATCCTGCACCGCAAACGGGGCCACTGAGCCCGGGAAGCTGATCATGCGGAGCAGTGATGGTCCCAGCATTTCCATGATTATTGCGCTTCTTGCGCTCGTTTCGTCAAAATCAATCACCTGCACCACATGCGGGTGCCCGGCCACGATTTGGAGAATTTCAAACTCGTTCCGCAGCTCTTCGTTCTTCTTCTCATCGCTCACCACCTTCACGGCAACCTTGCGGCCGCCGAATCGGCCCAAGATCACCTGGGCGAGGCCGCCCTTGCCTATGACGGTCTCCTCATACGGAGTCGGCGACCGGGCCACCAGCAGTGTGGGCCCAGGCAGCGCCGCTGGCGCCGCCACTCGCCTCTGCCTCTGATGCCTCTGACGGCAGGTGTCGCGCGTCCATCGCCGGCCGAACGTGAAGCCCGCCCCGTACGGGGCCTCATAGGCACCCGGGCCAGGGCCGCTGGGCTGCGGCTTCCGCCACCTTTCTGCCTTCGCAAACATGGCGGCAGGCGCTGGTAGAAGCGGTTCTTGAAATTGCTGAACTGCTGCTGCGTGGTGTAGAGATGGGTTGGGGTGAAGGGTCAAATGTCCGAACGCAGAACACTGGCATCTGGGTCTGGCACTCATCCCATTCGCCTGCAAGCCTAGATGCACACGAACATGTTCTTTTCCTGGCCATGCTAGGGTCATACCTTGGCACCTCAACACCATGGGCGCATGCACACACGTCCGTTTCTGTCTTAAAGGTGTAGGCGCTTCAATCTCTTCAACATAGGCCCACAGAGTCAAATGTTCAACTTGAGCAGCTATGAAAGTAAACAACATGAATGTCTACGTAGCTTGCGCAACGACACTAGGACCGTCATGGCGAACGGGCGAGCGACCAAACGCATGGATTCTTTTCATGTTCCTCGTTCACAGCTGCGCCCCAGACAGGCACCAACCGATGTCGCGCCATGGGCTGAGCCCTGCCAGCGTTGGAGGGGAGTGCCGGTCATCAAACAGATTCGTGATCATTCCACACATCCCCACACAGCCATGGCAAGATGCTTTGAGCCAGGCAGTACCTCCAAAGGCAAAGTCTTTGGGCCTGTAGCCACTACACTGCAAACCGAACATCGCCGGCTATCGGTTGGCTTGCGCCTGCGCGCCCACGGCAAGAGTCACTGGCTGGCCTGCGGAGGGCAAAGCCGAGCGGCTGCTCCAGGCAGTCATTACGAGAAATCGTTTCGCAAATGGCTCGGGGTGTTCAGAAATTGTGGGACGGCGATTAGTAAAGAGAAAGCAAAGGGAAACCCCACCAGTAAAATTCATAAGTGGAAAATGGCAGACTTCAGGGATGTCTATTGAGGCGGTCCTTAAGGGACTGGAGGTTGTAGACGACATCGGAGCCGTTGTCACATCTGGGTACCCATCTCCACGCGTCTGCAACACTGAAGTCCGGCAGAGGCTTGTGCCATCGCTTTGCCAGCTTGCCTCGGTGTCCAATAGGTTTGCAACAAAACAGTTGCTCATCCCATCCCACCCTTTTGACAAATGAAGACTATGGACTACGAATGACCAAACATAATTGAATTGTGGGCAGCCTAGCAACCAGCAGCTCTTCGGGATGCGCAGGCCTTGCGCAATGCGTGGCCAAACGGGCCGCCCCGGTCCACGTAGATGGAGTCCGGCTTGCCCCCGACCGCTTCGCCCACCCCATTCCTCCAGACCTGGGCTTAGAACCACTGCCAAACCATCCGACAAAAATCAAGCTGGTCAAGTCGAATTCATAGTGGAACCGCTCCGAGCCGAGTATGGAAGGTAACACATACATTGATTTTCGAAGGCCCAGGCATGCTGACAGCTGAAGCAAATCACGCCTGCCTGGGTTGGGCCAACGCCTATAAAAATGTTGAACTCACTTTTGTTCAAACAGCCTGTTGGTTCCCTCGAAAGGCCACCAGGGCCTGGTTGTTCAACAACTTTTGCAACAACTTGCCTGCCACAAAGGCCTGCCATCTTTGCCTGTGGCCAACGTGTCCGCAGCTTGCAGATGGCTCGCGCCCTGGCGCTGCGGAAACCAGGGCTCGGCCTGCGCGGGCGGGGCGCCAGGGTAAACTGCACGGTAACCCTGGCGTTCGGCCAAAACGCAACCCGGCCTTGGCGCTCGTCACAGCACCTGCCCGGCGGCCAGAACTTCTTGGAGCTCTTCGGCCGCCCTGGCAGCGTGGGGTCGGATGTCTTGCTGCGGTTCCTGCAGCTTTGTCAGCCAGTCGCTGATCGCTGCATTCCGCGTCTCCACCTTGACGAGGTCCTCCACCGCTTTGACCACGCAGGACGCCGCGAAGACGTCCTACCGCGATAGAATACACTTATTGCAAACCCGCAAAGCTGACCCAATCGTGCTAATTAGCCGCGGCGAGCCCTGCCGTCCTCTTTGAAGTGGTTGATCCGTGAAATGTCCTGCCACACACAACCCACAAATTGTCCACAAAGCCTTCCCTGGCATGAGTTTTCATGCTTACGATGATGAGAGGTCCTGGGCACGAAAGTGTTCAAGATTGATCCGGCCCTCGGACAATTCCTCCAAGCTTTGGTGGATCTGGGCGCTGTCGAAGTCGATCAGCACCATCTGCCACCCCAGCCCCAGCCGGCTGCAAACGTTGCGCGCGGAGATGTCGCAATGTGCGACGCAGAAGCTATGTATGTGCTTCAGGGCGTTCAGCAGGGTCACAGCCACATCCTGCACCGCAAACGGGGCCACTGAGCCCGGGAAGCTGATCATGCGGAGCAGTGATGGTCCCAGCATTTCCATGATTATTGCGCTTCTTGCGCTCGTTTCGTCAAAATCAATCACCTGCACCACATGCGGGTGCCCGGCCACGATTTGGAGAATTTCAAACTCCTTCCGCAGCTCTTCGTTCTTCTTCTCATCGCTCACCACCTTCACGGCAACCTTGCGGCCGCCGAATCGGCCCAAGATCACCTGGGCGAGGCCGCCCTTGCCTATGACGGTCTCCTCATACGGAGCCGGCGACCGGGCCACCAGCAGTGTGGGCCCAGGCAGCGCCGCTGGCGCCGCCACTCGCCTCTGCCTCTGATGCCTCTGACGGCAGGTGTCGCGCGTCCATCGCCGGCCGAACGTGAAGCCCGCCCCGTACGGGGCCTCATAGGCTCCCGGGCCAGGGCCGACGGGCTGCGGCTTCCGCCACCTCTCTGCCTTCGCAAACATGGCCGCAGGCGCGGGTGCAAATACCTCAACCAATCTGGTAGAAGCGTTTCTGAAATTGCTGAATTGCTGCTGCGTTCGTGGTGTAGAGATGGGTTGGGGGTGAAGGTCAATGTCCGAACGCAGCCACTGGCATCTGGGTATGGCACTCATCCCATTCGCCTGCAAGCCTAGATGCACACGAACATGTTCTTTTCCTGGCCATGCTAGGGTCATACCTTGGCACCTCAACACCATGGACGCATGCACACACGTCCGTTTCTGTCTTAAAGGTGTAGGCGCTTCAATCTCTTCAACATAGGCCCACAGAGTCAAATGTTCAACTTGAGCAGCTATGAAAGTAAACAACATGAATGTCTACGTAGCTTGCGCAACGACACTAGGACCGTCATGGCGAACGGGCGAGCGACCAAACGCATGGATTCTTTTCATGTTCCTCGTTCACAGCTGCGCCCCAGACAGGCGCCAACCGATGTCGCGCCATGGGCTGTGCCCTGCCAGCGTTGGAGGGGAGTGCCGTTCATCAAACAGACTCGTGATCATTCCACACATTTCCACACAGCCATGGCAAGATGCTTTGAGCCAGGCAGTACCTCCAAAGGCAAAGTCTTTGGGCCTGTAGCCACTACACTGCAAACCGAACATCGCCGGCTATCGGTTGGCTTGCGCCTGCGCGCCCACGGCAATAGTCACTGGCTGGCCTGCGGAGGGCAAAGCCGAGCGGCTGCTCCAGGCAGTCATTACGAGAAATCGTTTCGCAAATGGCTCGGGGTGTTCAGAAATTGTGGGACGGCGATTAGTAAAGAGAAAGCAAAGGGAAACCCCACCAGTTAAATTCATAAGTGGAAAATGGCAGACTTCAGGGATGTCTATTGAGGCGGTCCTTAAGGGACTGGAGGTTGTAGACGACATCGGAGCCGTTGTCACATCTGGGTACCCATCTCCACGCGTCTGCAACACTGAAGTCCGGCAGAGGCTTGTGCCATCGCTTTGCCAGCTTGCCTCGGTGTCCAATAGGTTTGCAACAAAACAGTTGCTCATCCCATCCCACCCTTTTGACAAATGAAGACTATGGACTACGAATGACCAAACATAATTGACTTGTGGGCAGCCTAGCAACCAGCAGCTCTTCAGGATGCGCAGGCCTTGCGCAATGCGTGGCCAAACGGGCCGCCCCGGTCCACGTAGATGGAG